ATTTTCAATTCCTTTTTTTTTTTTTTATTGCTGCAAGTAATTTCACATACACTATTTTATCTTTTCCATTTTATATTTATTTATATACACGAAGGGCTATAACATATATTTTTTCTGTTCGGACATCATTTTGGCACATGTTTTTCCATTATTGTTAAACTGATTTTTCGGGTTCTTTTTTTATATATATATATATATATATATATATATATATATATATATATATATATATATATATATACCGATGCGAGCAAACAAAATAAAAAAGAAGAACAATAAAATACAAAAAGTGGCCTTCACCTTTTCCTCCGGATTTTTGTTCTCCTTTCCTAAACATCCCGCTTCTGCGCTGTCGTTTGGGTCCCATTAACGAAAAAGGAATTTTTTTAAGCCCAACTCATTGTTTACAACGTGTAGCCCGAACAGAAATAAATAAAAGGCAAAATCCTTTCGGAATTATTTCAAGGGAATCAGTAGTCAGCCTTGGAGTCATAAAATGTCAGATATCCAGTTAATCGAAATAACATACCGTGCTCCTTAATATACTTCAAGTAGGGTAAATTATATGAACTGACCCAAGAGCCATTACCTTTAGTTTGGCTTGGTTTGGTTTGATTTGTTTTACGGCATATCAACCTCAAATTTAATGCCGACAAAATCTGTAATGCTGGTAGCATTTTTCCCCAAAAATGTATTCCTGGTAATACCGTTATTTCCTTAAAAATATATTGCTGGTAAACTTTTTTTTTTCTTCAAAAATATATTTCTGGTAATATGTTTTACTTTAAAAATGTATAGCTGGTAATTTCTTTTTTAAATGTATTGCTGGGAATATCTTTTTTTTTTCCCAAAACTCTATTGCTGGTAATATTTATTTTTTCAAAAATTTATTGCTGGTAATATCCTTTTTTTTCAAAGTATTTCTTGTATTTAAACCTATTTTTATATTTACATAGTCTTTTGACCTTAGTTTGTGTGTTAAGTATTTGTCCATAACTGCCACCCTAACAGATGCTACCGGCCCGGGTCAGGGTGGACCTGGGAACATCAGCAATTCAGAGGTGGTTCAGCGCTTCTCAAAACCCCCTGATCTGAGGCCTTTTTGTTGAACGTAGTTTATCGTCACACCCAGGACAGCCATTAGTTTTAGATAATCTCGATGCCTCGTGATTTTTCTGAGATTTGTGTCCTTAGGGTTTAAATATTCGTCGCTTTGCAAATCCCATGAATTTAAATATACATCAGAAATTGTATTTCAAATATTAATGTTCTTGTGTATATTTACCGAATTGTCACAAGGCTTGATTATTCTATCGTTTTGCTTCTTGCGGTTTACCAATCTTTTGTATGGTATCTAAATCCAGAAAATATTTTTAGATTGTAAGAATTTGGCGGAGATAATAATAATTTACTTATACTTTATCCTACCGATTAACCCATAGCCGGAGAGAGAAAAAAGGTAGATTCATAACTTTCCTAAGGTTATTTACGTAGACATTAGGATTGAATTCTATCACCTCAGGTCCATGTACTTGCAGACATTTTTGCCAAACTGATGAATATTCATGAGCACTCTTATACAAAAAAATTGAAAAACCAATAACATTTTTTGCTCTTGTATATAAATACTTGTCACAAAATAAAATCCTTACATTTGCCTTAACAAAGTTCCTCAGAAGATGAAACGCGTCGGCTAAAATAAATTTTCCTTTTGTTTATATTCATAAGTGCATATAATAAACTCGACTGGATATTGAACTTGTCTCTCTGATTTCCACTTCAGAATTGTTATCCATTACATCACCTACGCATCCAAGTTTACATAACCTGGTATTCTCATGCGGTCACCCATTTTGGTACTGACCCGGGTCAACGTTGCTTAACTTCAGTTACCGTACAAGAACCGTTGTTTTTATCTAATCTGTAATCCAACTGCCATTAGGAATACGTAGAGAAACTCCAATAAATTTAAATACAAGATTATATGAACACAGCAGAGATGTTTTACAAAACAACGCACTCAGTGTATAAGTTGCTCATCGTAAAATCGTCTGTCCATAATCTTTATTTAGAAATGCCACTTTAATTAATGAGAAAGCAATTTACTAAAACAGAAATCTATAGAAAGTGCTTTAATCTCTAGATCATACACAGTAAGTTTATATCTAGATTCTTAGAACGTTTCATCTTTCTCGACAGATATCCTTTTATTCTGTTATGATCCAGAATGATGTTGATATTACATCATTCTAAAAATAACCTTGTCATCAGTGGTGCCAGCAATAACGATATTTCCTGATGCCTGAGATAAAGATAAAAAAAAAATTGATCATACTAAAATCAACCATGCCACTAATGATAGAAGACGAGAAAGATATTTCATCATTCTAAAATCTGATTATAAAAACGACCCTTTACCATAAGCGGCGGCCGTCAGTAGAATAGGATCAGTAGAGTAGAGTACGGTAGATTAGCAAGTGGCAGTAGCAGTAGTAAAAGG